AAGGCTCAGCGATGAGAGGGGGCATCTTTTGGGGTTGGAATGAGAGTTGTCAATCTTGAAGTCTTTTGCGACGTCGTAAAAAGGAAGTAGAAAGAGGCGGACACAGTGCAGAGGGCGTTGGCAGATGTTCATGACTGGGTAGTGACCGTAAACTCTGACCACGTAATACAAGTGTGGATGGGAAGGCAAACCACAGTGGGGGGATGCATTATTGTTAGTTAAGGCCCATTGACCACTTAGAGGACGTTCCGGCAGCGTATGGAACCTGGACGTGGAATAAATGTTTCTCGGCAATGAGATATGGCAAACCTTAGTGTTCGCAGTTATGTCGCAATAATGGGAAACCATTATAAACTTAGGAGTGTCCTTCTAAGTAGCTCATTCACTCGGACGATGAAAACACGATTTTGGAAGTGGAGTTGGGTTGCAATACTTCGGTATGAACAATGAGTTATGTGAGGCTCAAACCGATAAAACCATACACCGAATAGAGCCTCGTAGTAGCCAGAAATAGTGAGGGGCTTCTAACGCATCTAGGTGTCTGAGATGTGAAAGCTTTTTTGATGTAGCCAGATGCTGCAGATCACAGAGGTTTTGGTGTACGAACGTGAGCACGTGAGCTGATGTTTCCAAAAAAGTATGTATCTGGCAAGGCTGACAATGCGTTTGAGTACGGGATGCCTACAAGTTCTGGCGGGGACCACGAAGCTATCGATCTAATCAATATTTTTGTTTATTTTTTCTGGGCGGCGGTTGAGATGCGGGACAGCGGCTAAGGGGTTGGTAGATAGGTTGATTGCGCTATACTGTACAATAGGTCAGACAGGAATGCGGGGTTTGTCGGTGAACCAAGGGCTGCAAGGGCAACTGATAATTCAAGGTTGCCGAGGCCAAAGAAGGGGGTTGGTTAAGGTACCCCACCTTGAGCCTTTGAATCAAAAGTCTAACCCACAAGGCAGCGGGAGCATAAAGGGGTTGTCGGGGTTTCTGCCTCTAGCGTATAACTCAAGAGTTTGAACCGCAAGGCAGTGGTATACTTCCCAGAACCAGTGACTCAATAGTCTGACCCACTTGAATGTAAGGGACCGGCCTAGCCTGAGAGTGCAGGGTGTGTCATTATTGTCTCACTTCTGATGCGGATGCTCACGGCGTATGCCTTCTGAGCAACATCGGGCTCTTTGATTTTAGTCAATGATGCGCCGGCAGCCAAGGCCAACCATTGAGCGATGAGGTTGCGCAGTTTTGGGGCTAATCTTTGCTAACCCGTCCTTCCTCCGGGAGCAGCAGCGTCGCTGCTTCCATAAATATGAAGTTAGTGGTTACCTGGGGAACGCCTCACTGTCTCCACTCTCGTCTAGCAGATGACAGTACGACTTTACCTCTAGACCGCCTCGTAATACGATTACTCGCGGTACGCGGATTGCTATTCATCGTCCGGCCGCTCCGCGTTAAACTTCCTGACATGTATGAGCATGTAGGAGCTGAGTTCGAGCCAGTGAAGCCCGCGAAATCCTTGCAGCGCAAAGGTCCGATCACCCAGACAAGGTAAAAGCCTTGGATCTGAGACAATTCAAATAAGCTACACTGTACCACTATTTTTTTGGGGCTAAAGCGGAACAAAGTTGGGAGTTAGTGCTTTGTATGTTCACAACTTTGAAAACCAAATAGCTCGGGAGAAGTTGGTTTTCACTGGCCCCTAGTGAGCGGTTAGTCAGTGATTCTATGAAATGTTTATCTGCATTTAAAAAGAGGAGGCTCTCTGAGATAGGTGTGGGGAGTCGGTGATAGAGCTTGTTTTCAACAAAAAGTACCGTAATGAGTATGGTAATAATAGTGATGTTTATTCCAAGCTGGTGGATGGCATTCCAGGCACGATCATAATGTTACAGCCAGAATAAAAGCGGTAGTGACGGGGTTTGCGTACATGGGATTTTGAGGAAAATGAGTAGTGTCATAAGCAGTGGGCATCATACGATGTAGACATGGTCATCTCTAGGCCTGCACGGACAGGGAAGAGCGATTACCACTGCTTTTTCCTTTTGAGAAAAATATCAAGCTGAAGCTGAGTTGAAGGTGAAATTGAATTGAGGGGAAAATCAAGAGGCACCCTTCCTAACACATGACAAGAAAACTGACGACTGCAGAAAATGAGGAATGGGGTCAACGGATCTGGTGAAACAGTAGAGTTCCCTGATCCAGCCCCTCAATTCGAACTAGATCCTCGTTCCTAGAACTAGATCCTCGCTGAGGCCTCGTTGTCCTGCACTTTTAGGTTTATGGCCAGGGTCACAAGCAGCTACTCAAATTGGTAGCACTTTTATTGAGGGGTTGGCTTGGTTTTTAATTATTGTTTCAATTACTTCTTCTCTATTCACTAACTGCTCCTGTGCTAAACTCCGAGGTGATTTGGACCTGATTCATAAAGAGGATTAAGGGGTACCTGGGGATTAAGTAGGACAGCTGCGGCCCCACACATAAGCACTTCGGCACAACGGACAGAGTATGAGTGTTATATTTAGCTTAGCCGCCTGAGCCGTAGTGGCTAAAGGCCCAATGTTATGCAGCGGGAGCGGTGAGAAGGGGGAATGAAATGTGCGAATAACATTTTGGTGATCGAACACTGGATGTTCTCAGGTGCTAGTCAACAATGTTGGTTATAAGGGAACAGAGCGCAGCACAAAATCCGTAATTGGTTGCGCGCAAAGCTTCCAAATTGCTACTTTTGTGCCCCGAATATGGACAGGGTTAATATTAGAAAGCAGTGCCTACGTACCCGGGTGACCTGGAACCAGACTTGATGAGAGCAGCCAAGGGTACAAGAGTAACTGAGCTGGAAGAAGTTGGTATCTATGGAATGAGTGCCAGGGTTCCCAATAGTTGCGAACACATCATCTGGGACAGAGGTCAGGTTGTCTTCGACCGTAACGGGACTGATGGTGCCGCGTGCGCATCCTCGCTCTGTGGTGGTTTATGGTACACTGACTCGAGAGCGGCAAGAGGGCTTTCTGAATGGTATGGGTCACTTTGGACAAATCATCACAATTAGTTGGGTATTAGAACAACGCCATACATGTAAACCACCATCCCTGGATTTTCAAGACACGTTTGACTCGGTTGACCAAGCTGTCCTATACAGCACACAGAATGTTCTCCGTATTCTCGTGCTTCGAAGGCGATAGCTTACAGCGAGCTGCCCAAAAGCTTTCATAAAGAAAACAGTATTCTTCATGGGTATCCGCTTTCTACATTCTTAGTTATTTCGAGGGAATAACGCGGGGATCACAGAAACGAACGCTGGAGGGCATTTAAAAACCCGGTGTTCTAATAGCTTCTGACGTAGCCATTGTATGTTTAGACTAAGGGGCCGGTATCCTCTTTGTCTTCGCAAAGAAAGAGCAGATATTTTTGGACTAAATAGCCAATGTTACTTCGCTCTTTGGCATGGCTTTTGCACATACAAATTTTAGGGTGAAGCTCGTGGCACGCAATGGAATGAACACGCCGGTTGCTATTCAAAAAGAGACACTGGAATATTTGGAGTTTTCTCCCCATGAGGGAAATTGTATTAGTTCTGCTTAAACCACGTATCTGGTATGCCAATTCATCGTATGGCGAGTAAAGTACTATCTTTCATGCCGAGTTCTTGGTGGCGGAGGCAGTGAGTTGGTCAACCCTTGACCTGGAATAGGGCATGTAAAATATGGCAAAAGGCTTGGGCGCCGTCTGTGCCGCTCGCCTTCCAGGATGGGAACCATGTGATTCCCCGTACGCCCGACTGTAGACGCTGCGAAACACGGAAGTATGAGCCCCTCTGAATGATTGTGGTAATGTTTTACATAATTCATTTCCAATTAACTTTTGTTTATTCACAATAATCCTTTCAAATAAACCACTTTTGTACGGCGGTGAAGCGCCAGTGTTCAACACTTGTTCCTTGCTGTCGATGGCGATGATGGTTAAATCCCAGTCGTAGCCTACTGCATTCATTAAATAGTAGCGCAAATAATGAACAATGGAACAGGACCCTGGGAACCCTCGACATCACTGGTAACCGTTTACTCATGGATGAGATGGTACCCTAGAGTTTCTGTCGAGAGTTTACTTGCTTGCCGCTTGAGACGAAACCAGAGTCACGTAAATGCTCACGCGGATGTTCGCGACTCCTGTTGCGTTTGTTATGCTGCACTTCGGGAACTATGAACTTCGTGAACAATACGGACTGACGGGTCGAAGCCTATGCTGCCCATGTCAGTGAAGCACCCAAGGCTGTTGGTATTCGCCATGAGACCTGTAAACATTCCTCCACTTCCGTCTCTGGTGCGTACTCGCTTGTTTCGATTCTGCTTACTCCTAATCTCGTCTCAGATGAACGTAAATCACCCTAGGACCTTGCCAACGCACCTGCAATTAAGATACTCCTATCCTGCGACCAATTTGAACTGAAGCGCTGGAAAATTTGGATAGAGTTAATATTTCCTACCCGCCTATTTGTACAGAACTCCATCGGGACTTAGCAGCTTCCAAACCGGTGGACAGCCCAAGACATAGGAAGGCTCCTGCGGGACAAATTCGAAGCGCACTACCAAGAACTAGGCCTAATGCACCATGAATGACCACTGATCCTGATCTACTTGGCTTGCTTGATTTGACACATGCTCGCGGAATTAGCCTTTCCAAGAACCCGCTGTGGCAGCGCGGTGATAAAAGACCTCGTCAAGGAGCTACCGAATAAAGCTAGGGCTCATCGAAGGTGCATTACAGTTACGAAAGGGGTTGCTCGAAATTTGAAAACAAGACTCGTCAGTGATTCAGGCTGCTTAGCAGAAGTGATGCATTCCATAGCTTTTCTAAAACAGAAAAGTTTATTCTATCACGATCCTAAAGATGCACGAAGAACCCGCTGCGTTGAGGCGATAGTCGGGACACACTTGCATCCATTTTGGAAATAGCAACACCAAAAAACCTACCCTTCTCATACTAAAAGGAGTGAAAACGAGAGAAACGGACAAACGAGCTCGTAATGGCGCTCACTTCAAACAAAAGTGAAAAAACACATAACCAAGACAAAATTTACAACAACTGGTTAGACGACGGAGGGGTAGACGGAAGCTTTGGAGACTTCCGAACTTTTGCCGTAAAGAGGTTACAATAAAATTATAAGTTAAAAAATAAACTTGTCATTCGAATAATATAAGTAGAGGAGTGCAGTTAGGAAGAACTCTAAGGGCGGTGGGTAAGGGAAACTGCCGGGGGACATTGGGCGGTTATCACAGCTTCGCGACGTACGAGTTGGAGTCAGTCGATCAATGGATTGGAAGGTGAAGGCCAGAAATGCACTACGGACTTGAACGGAAATATACAGACCACAGAAACCAGCAAAGTCAAGGAAAACAGTCAATCACAAACAGACAAATTGGCAGCGCTACGCGTGGACCCCGCCACCGCAGAATGCAGGTGGTTCTGGACTTAATCGGGAAACGGATTTCGGAATGGAAGCGATCGAATGGGAAGAAAGTGATGTAGGTGGAGTTGGCTTTAGGTTGTGAATCACCTGGCGACAATTCTCACATACTCCGCCCCGAATTTCTTTCATCATGTTGTTCAAACTGGATATCTCTGAGCCCAGGGTGGCCATATTTTCCTAGATAAAAAAATGCCGAGAATCCGATGAGCAAACAATCGCACAAAACGCGCTAATCACAAGCGATTAACGGTGAGAATCTCAACAGCACTCTGTTGGAGCGATTCGAAACATTTCCAAAGTCACACCTGAAAGTAAAACGTTACCCAGCACATGTTCCTATTTGAGCGAGAAGCTATAAGCATTTGTTATTGACCGTCAATTCTCGTCGCCAAATTGTAATAACGATATTTTCCCCAGCTTAGTTCTCGGTCTGACGAGAAGCTACATTTGTTATTGACCGTCAATTCTCGTCGCCAAATTGTAATAACGATATTTTCCCCAGCTTAGTTCTCGGTCTGAATCTCTCTCCCTAGCCTTCCTGTCAGAACAACCACCAAAGGTTCATAGCCTGTACGGCTGTACATATATATA